AGACTCAAAATCTCTTCTACCTAAACCACAAATATAAATATATTATTCTCATCCCTGAAACTATTCATATGTATGTGCTTGGTGCCTAATATTATCTACGTCTAGTTCCAAAAACAAAAGCRAATGAAAGGAATAATTTWAAAAAAAATGTATGCACAAAATAAAAATTTGATTACAGACGCTTTTCCTTTGCTAAAAGTTGAGTATCAGATTAATATTGGAATTATACAGCACTTTTAATGAACCTCATAAAGATTTTCCACTCTCTTAATTTAACTTGTTCATCTTAAATTATCCCATAGTATAAATGCCAAATGGGAGTCTATATTTGCATTTTAAGTTACTTAAATAATTTACTTAAATTATAGGGTATGATTGAAGAGTTAAATTCTAAGATTGTTGTGACTGTTTTCACTCATTGAAGAGTTCTTCCAATATTTCTGAATTTTTTTTTCTACTTTAAGCATGATGTCTTATGGTCTCAGACCCGCAGGCATAGAAAATCAATGTTTTTAAAAGTGTCCACTCATTCTGAGTAGCCAAAATATGTAAAAGATGAAATATTTCATCAGCTTTTATTGGTTTCAGCTAATACTGTATCAGCTAGCACTCCAGGTGCTAGGATCTTGCAAATTCAGTACAGCCTTCTGGAAATTTGAGCCAAAATATYTCTTTTTGATTGAAGAAATCTCATAGTATTCTTACCTAACTTAGAGAAAGATTCAGTGAATACCTAATAACAATTGTCAAYGTAATAAAGTTAGGTTTAAAGTATTAGGAAATGCAAAATAATTATGAGTACTCTGTGCATTTTCTGATACAAAATGAAGCTGATTCAGAGCGATACCTCACACACCAGAAGTTAAACAGTACATGTGAGAATTGCTTAAAGGTACTCCTAGAATTCCTAACGAAACATCCTCAGTGAGAATGGGGAATACTTTTCCTGCCACTAAGCAGCTAATGGCTCTGCAGCACCCTTGAGACTGGGAGCCCCAGCTCTGCACGCAGCTCTGGGGCTGGAAATCAGCCCAAGTCCCAAGTTTTTGGGACAGACGTTGTGGCAAAAGGGACTCTGAAGAAATGGCTTAAGGGCTTGTAGTGCGGACGCAGACAAAGTGCTCAGCTCAGGATCCGCTCCGGGATCGTCGTTCTCAGGAGCAATCTTGCAGATCCATTTAGATGGAGCTGAGGACCCATGCAGGACAGGCTGGCATGCTGTTTAAATAACATGCTGCTTTCTAGTGCCAGACTTAATTCCACTTGCTTATGACAGAGTAACTACAGAAATTGCCATTCTCGAAATCCGGAAACKATTTCAAAAGTGATTTCGAAGTTTYAAAAAGAAACTTGTTACAGAAGAGACTTGTCATGTTTGGACCTGTACCTCTAAATGGTTGAGCTTTGGGAAGAAGCCTGGGGCACACTGCGTTGCCCTGTGCTCCAAAATGTTAAGGCAGATGGAGTGCATGAAGGAATCGTTAAGGGTTTTTGCCTTTTTTTTTTTTTAATTCAGAGTAGTTTCTGATAATAGAATAGAAAAAAAAATGCACAAAACTCTATGTAGTTGTTTCCTCAGAGCTCAAATACTTTGAAAAATCAAAAACATCTGAAATATAGATTCTGAAATACAGCTTAGTGCTTTTCCTTTSCCTGTATATGCATATAGCCATTCCAAGAAAGATGTGTTTAATGCATTTAATGTATTTAATAGCTTTTAGACAATACAGAAGAGAAGATTAACTGCAGAAAGGTATTGCAAAGAATAGATTAGTGCTGAACAGAGGAGCAAAAATTATGGAGAGAAGGTTTTAAACAAACAGAAAGTGATGCCATCCAAAAAACAGTGAGTGATCTAAAGCAGAAAAAATTATTTTGTAGCTTTCTGGAACTATCTGAGCCTTCACATTAATAACTTATAAGGYAGCAGGTTCAGATTGGACAGTTTAGGTTATTACCACCCCTTGCTGTGTTCTTACCTTCCTGCCTTGAGGGTTGGGAAATCCACACTATTAGTGAATCAGCTCCTGATTCCCTACAGTTTTCAACTTGCCTCTGAATCACCAGGTAAAGAGCTGAACCAACAGAATGAGTAGACTGATAGGCAAACTAGAGGAGAAAAAAAAAAAAAAGGAAGAAAAAAAAAAAAAAAAGAGATGGAACTCTGTACTTAGGTGCATGAGCTGAAACCACATGAATATCTACAAAAAGAGAAACCTGGGTAAGAAATGACCTATACAAATATTTTCCTACAAGAGCTGAATCAGTAGGAGATTGCAGATGCTCTTAGGGTGCAGTTTCATGCCACAGTTAACCGGGCTGCCACTAGAAGAGGAGACACCACTGCCTGACAGGCTGCGCCACGGCCTGTTCTGGCATGGGAACACGATGGTCCCTTTCCTTATCCACCTGCAATTACTCTGGCATTACAATGACACAAAATTTCAGCCCTCAAAAGCAAGGAAACAAGCAAGGATCTGTGCCCATTCACCACCCCACTTGGGACGTGCTTTTTCCTCAGTCTGCCTGCGCAGTTTTATGCACTTCAGTAGAAAAGGCAACTTCTTACAGTTTGGAAAGCAGAGACTTTTAGCATGTGGATACTTTTATTGGGAGAAAAAAATGCTCAAAGGGCATGTACAGTGGCTCTGGGCAGCTTTCGAAAGATCAAAAACTTCAGGGCTGCAATTAAACAAACAAAACATCCATTCCATGCAATCAAAATAACATAGCTAGGGTATAAACTTAGAGAACAAAACATACAGGTAAGCTGATTTGGGGCACTACCCTGATTAACACAGCATTTCCTTGAATTAATTCTTATCTTTTCACTTTTCTGTCTGTAACACTACTGCATGAACGGCTTAGTTTGATATTAAGATGCAAAGTGTTTTGGAAAGTTCCTGTACCATCCTCAGACTTCACTCCTCTGGGAAAATTCTAATACATATTTTTTGAAGAATTATAAAATATATTTTTGTTGTGCTCATGGTGGGAAAAAATAGATTATTTTTAAAAATGTTATTACATTGGAGCTGGCTCTGCCATCCAAAGCCCAACATTTATTCTCAGGTAATGTCATACAAATAAAAGTGTGTGGGAAATGCCTTCTCCTCTCTGTCTTGTGGCTGTTAACACACTAGAAGAAAAGGCACCAAAAGGYCTTGGAGAGACAACCATAGAGAGGCCTGTGGGCAGCAATGAGTGTTTCAGGAGGCTCAGAGCACCCACAGTTGGTTTTATATTCAGAATTGGGATTATACTTGAATTTCCAGCACTGTAACAGAAGAGACCAATGAAACAACATGCAAATATACAGGATCCGTGTGAAATGTGAACTTGAAGTACAGGCCACTCTCCCAGACACAGTTGCCACTGTCCTGGCTTTCCGTTGCTTTTGATATCAAGGAAACACCAGCTCTTTTAGTGAGATGAAAGAATATTACATGCTGTGAAAGAAGATTTTAAGGAAGATATTAGCTCATTCGTCACCATTTCTTCTCCTGTGATGCTCTGAATTTGAAAGATGTGCAAGTACTTCATATTCCATGGTGTTTGCTGTTGCAAATAAAGATTACAAGATCTCCTGTCCAAGACCAGGTTGTATCACAAATATTCCCGTCTTTTGAATTTTACCAGGATGAGGCAGCATATGGTCTAAATAATTTTCATGTGTACAAAATACAAAGCACTGGCATTTCCACCAGAGAAACTGCTAAGTTGCTTCAGAGATAACTCACAAAGAAGCTATTACAGACCACAAGAAAGCTGAAGATGCATCTAGTGAGTCTGCCCATGAAGAGCAAGAAAGCACACCAGAAAGTTAACAGCTTGCCTAACGTTTAGTCTCCTGCATTTGCTTATAGAATTTACTTATATATACTTATATTGCGTGATATGCACGCACGAATAAAAATCACATAGCTTAAAAGTTGGCATGCATCCAGCATTAGTGGATTAATTGCATGCCAACCAATGGAAGCATTTAGAAAAGCTCCCAAGTGGTAAAGCCTCTTGAATGCAGTAACACAGCACAGGAGGGGCTCTATGGGCCTCCCTGTTCCCCCTGTTGATCTTAGAGAGCAGAGAAACAGTTAAGTCTTTTCCTGCCTCTTCAGAGATGCCTGTCAGGGTCCTTCCAGTGCTACTCTGGTGGTTTCTGGGGTGTGTAATGACTTTCCCAGTCCTATTTCTCTGCCCCTTTACTAAGCAGCATTACAGCCCATAGCTGACTTTCCTAGCRCAGCCAGGTGCACACCAAGCCCTCAGCTGCCCCCAGTCTGGCTCTCCTGTGAACTCCGGTCAGGTCACGAGGAGAACAAGACGGGCCTTTTCTTCACTTTGCTAGCTCTGTGCAGCGCGGCCTTACGGGCAGAACAACCAAGTGCTACGGTGCTTCATTTTATTTGCTAAAACACTGCTCACTRAATCATCTCATCACGAAGCAAACCCGTTTAGATTCCAGTGCTTTAACACTATCTGCACGCACAGCGCCAAATCCTGCAGTCAACCTTCCCTGTGAAACCAATGGATCATTTCTTACATGCATGACCTGCGTGCATGAAGATGTGAATTTGTATTCTTTTTTAATCTGTACTTCAATGTAGTGCTATCAGCTGCAATTCTGAACACTAGGTATTCAAATAGAGGGCTGTGCCTACATAGCACCTCTAATACGTGTCTTCTGCCACTACCTCAGCTCTTCCAAACGCAAGGGATCTGCTAGCTCCTCTAGCYGGGAAACTCCTGCGCATTTGAGGAGAAACTCGCCGGTTTGGGGTTTCTGCCCCGAGGAGGGGCTTTAAGGGCGCGGGGCTCCAGCCTTGCTCGCARGATCACGGCCCCGGGATTGTCCCCGGGGCCGCGCGACACGGGGGCAGCGCAGGCCGAGGCTCCACGGCTGCCGCCATCATGGCGCCCGCGGCGGGCCGGGCCCAACGGCCGCCGCCACTTCATCCGGAAGCGCCGCCGTGCCCCGGCGGAAGTGACGCGCCGCCGTGCCCTCCCCTGGCGGCGGCGGCGGCGGGCGCGGCTGGCGGCGGCCCGAGGCGCGCGCGCGGGCGGGCGGGACGGATCATGGCGGACGGCGTGGACCACATCGACATCTACGCCGACGTGGGCGAGGAGTTCAACCAGGTAGCGCGCCGCGCCGCGCCCGCCGCCATCGCCGCCGCCATTGTTCGGCCGCGGCCTCCCCGCCGAGGCCTGCGCGCCGCGTCCCGCCCCCTCCGCGCACGGGAGCGAGGAGGAGGAGGAGGCCGCAGGGCCGCGGCCCCGGCGCCAGCGCGGCCATTGTGCGGCGGGGCGAGCGGCGGCGGCGCGGGGAGGCCGGGCCGGGGCCGCCTTTGTTGTGCGCGGGGAGGGAGGCGGCCTGCGGGCTCCTCTCCCTGCCCTTTCCCTGCTTTCCTGCTGCCTTTTTCCCCTCCTGCTCTGTAGAAAAGGCTCCTCTGGAGCGCGACCCACTTCCCGCCGAGGAAGTGCGCTTGAAAGCACCACAACTTCCCTGCACTACGAATATATATATATATATATATAATTTATGTGTGTCCTCACCTTTTTTTTCCCCTCTTTTTCCCATTTTTTCTTTCTTTTCTTTTCTTTCTTTTTTTTTTCCTCCTCTTTCCTCCCCTTTTTTTTTTCTTCCTTCCCCTTGCAAGCAGCCACGTGCCGCCTTCCCCCCTGGGCTCGATGTTTGCGGCAGGTTTTCCAGCCATCTGTCACCCCCGCGGCTGCTTCTTCACCCCTCCGGGTCGCCTTGCCCCAGATCGCCTTGTTCTTGCCCCAGAACATAAATAACCACAAGCAGCTCCCTTTCCAAAGGGCTCCCAGGCCCCCGTGCCTTATGGAGAACCGGGACACAATAGGCTGTGGAAGTCGCGGTTAATTTGGATGGTTGCACCTAGTTGTTGCAGGAAACTTTAATTCTGTAGGTAATTCATTGATCAAGTAATTCAGGAGATGAGCAGTCTRACAACGGTATGTTTGTTTGTTTTTTTGTTTGTTTTTATAGCAGCATTGGATTAGATGAGCACCCAAGGGAGAGAGCTGAAYTACTGTTGCAGTTTGCTTAGAGGTGACGGTTTCACCTTTAGGATGGAAAGTTTGCTGTATGGAACCGAATTAGGGAAACCCCTGTGCAAATACCATTTATTGTGACAGTACATCTGCTCAAATTCTTTGTTAACTTYTATTAATCAATTCTGAGTAAGACAATGGTAGTGAGTTAAGTCTTGTGGAGCATTTAATTGAATCCAGTAGTGCTGGATGTGTAAATTCACTGTTGCAGAAGCCCTCTAAGCTGAATAATTTATTAGGCGGATGCTGCCGGAGCAAAACAGGAGGGCATATTCTGTTTCCCAGAGCATAACAACGTGCTCCAGGGGCTGGCCAGTTTTGGTGTTTCCCGTAGCCCGAAGGATGATTGCAGAGATGAGGAGTCGAGTGATAATTGGGGTTAGCAACTCGCTGCGGTCGCTCTCCTGGGGGATGCTGCTTTCAGCACGTGTTGTTACCACCCTGGTTTGTGACCCTGGCACAACATAGGAGAGGAAAATGAGAAGAAATTAATACTCCTTCTCTCCAAAGTTATCTGCAGAACTTTGCCAGTAATTTTTGTTTGAAGTTTGATTTTTGTGACATTCGTGTTGTTTCAGAACCTGCTCAGTGGAACAGTATTGCTTTAAAATAAAAAGTGGCCGTGGGAGACCTGGGCACCTCTGCGCTTTCCCATTTTGTTCTGTTGAGTTTGGAGGAAGGCTGTTTCTGCCTGCTGAATTGTTACTGCCCCGAGTTTCTTGCTTTGTGTTGGTGACTCTTTTAGAAACCTCTGCTGATAGACTCTGTTTTGAACATTACAGCTTAAATTGATAAGGCAGACRGTTGGCAAATGCCATACGGAGAAAGTGATATTAGCACTAGTAATTTGTTTGCRTACACATTTTATGTGGTGCTGTATTTGTAAGGAAAGCTTCCTGTATGCATGAAGTTCCTGGATTAGGTGGTCCTCAATTAATTGGATTTAGGAATATTCCTTTGAGGTGGCCTACAGGAACCATTTCTGCTAGTTTTGCCAGTAGCAGGGACTGAAAATGGATTGTTGTGACTTTGTTATTCCTCCAAGTACAGAATAACYGTATTTATACTCAAGCTAGGGGGGAAAAAAGCAAACTTTTCCTAACAGCTGTGATCTTTCAAGTAGATCTGTAAGGATATGTGATTGGAGGAGTTTCCCTCTATTGATTTGTCTTCTTGTGGGCATCAAAATACTTCTTCTTAGGTCTCTTCTGGGATTTTTAAATGCCTTTCTAAGAGAAGGGATGTTCTGCTTAGTAACTGCTGAATGAACCACAGGGTGCAAGGGTGAAGCAGACACAGAGCCATAGGTTTACCAACAGGCTAAACTGGATGAAAGTGAGAAATGTCTTGGGTTATATTGGTGTTAGTTACTGTGAGCTGGGTAGGGTGACTTGACGTCAAATCCATTTTCTTTAGTGAAAACACATCCTTCCAATCTATGTGGAGATCTTCAAAACTGTATGTCCATGCTGCTGCTTACCCTTTTCTTTACTTAGTATTCATCATATGAGTATTTTTTTTTTGTCCTCGTGTTTACAGCTTTAACCAGTTTGTCTCTCACTAATTTTATTTATTTCTTCATTTGTTGTGTTTTCCGTTTTATCCTGAGGTGCCCTTTTCTGAAGAACTTGAGTCATGTCCCTTTTCACTTTCTTAGTTTCAGAAAAGTATTTTCATGTATGCAGTCCTTCCTACATATGTTGTTTGTGACCTGTAAGAAGCCAGTATGGCATGCCCTGTTTCCGTTCCCTCTACATGTAAATGGATGAGCCTGGTATCCTCTAGGTGGCAGAGAATTGCCATAAAAGTAGGAGTACTTTAGCAAATACCTCTTTGGATTTTAGGGCAGTGTAATTGATAACAAGGAGGCTGTGCGTTGGGTCTGGCACAAGGGTTGTGCCAGGCAAGGGCAYGTGGGTCTCGCACAGGGTTGCCTGCACCTTGGCAGACTGGATTGTTGCCCCACAGTTGTGAAAGATGGGACTACGTATTGCCTGTTACTGTGCCTTTTTTAAAAAAACAAAACATATTTTTATATATATTTATATGGATGCCTACATATAAAATGAGCATACACACATATATAGCTGCAGTTTTGTATCCTCTTCTTGATCAGGAGGTTCTCTTTGTTATTTTAATGGTATGGAAAAAAATGTTTGTCTTGTTAATACTCTGGTGACTATACTTGCATAATTGCAGATATGTCTAAACATGCCCAAAGAGTTCCTGTTTGGTATTTAAATGCTAACAAATTAGAAATTAAAGAGTTTTGACTTCGTATTTTGCAGCTGAATAATAAAAGTGATTTAGAAGGAGTGAGCAGCTAAATGGCTAATCATCTGGCAACCTCTGTGGCTACAGATTCTTAGGAACATCTGTTACTCCTTTGACTTCTTGTCTAGAACAAAGAGAAGATATTTTTCTTTTTTATAACAAATAACAAAACCCAGCATTTAATGGTAATGTAAAGCAGATTATTAAAAACAGCCTTCAAATTAAGGTCAGTTGCCTCGTTATTGAAGGCAATGGACACRTTTTGATCTGATTAATTTCTATTTAGGAAGAGTTCAGTTGTAAAATACATAGACAAGCAGACTTGTATTTATTTTTAAGTACGCACAGTATAGCTCGTTTGGGTCAGTTCTTTGGTACCTGGACAGGGGTGGAGACTACCCTGTGCGTTTCCAAATACACTGCAAAGAAAACTTGGGATAACCTCAGCTGGAGCCTCTTTTTGTTAGGTTTTGTTGTGTTATCAGGCAAACTGTTTGGAAATTTTAGCTGCTTGTGTGATAGGCTGGTGATTTCTTACGAGCTGTGTTCTTCCGTGGTGAGGGGTGGAAGGTGATTTGTGCAGCAGGCCCCGAGTGGGTGTTTTTCTCATCRCTGCCGTGTGTTCGTGACGTTCAAACCGCAGTGTTGCAACGCGAACACGAAATGGGGAGGAAAGGCTAACCCAAGGGGAACGGCTTCTCTGGGCGCAGATCACTGCAGCTCCCAGGTTATTCATTCAACCCCAGCTAATGGTTTTGAACGTGGCATTTCCCTCCCAGTTTTCCCAGCAAACATCTAAATATTTTGCGCAGTAATCTAGTGGAAGCGTGGGCTGTGGAGGACTATTGCTACCCTGAGTTGGGAGTCGAAGGTGTCAGAAAAATTGTGCAAATGTTGTTTCCAGGCACGTGTGTCTGTAATCATGTGCAGCTGAGCAGAAGTTTTTCTTCATGCTTGGTGGTTTCCCCTTAGTTAAGGGAGGCAACAGAGGTCTAGAATGATTCTGATAAAGCATTTGTTGAAATAGTTACGACTAGAGAAGCAATACTTCTAGAATTCTGTTTCTTACTCAGATAAAACCAGGAAAGAAGGGCATTATAGATCTATGTAGGAGGAAAGGTGGTTGCATTTTGTGCAGTAGCTGTTGAGACATCTCTCTCCCATCCATGCTTGCAGTTGCTGCCTCAAATTAATCATCTAACCACACAGCGCGGTGGCTGAATGAGTTCTGTGCTGCTGGGAAACCAGCACGGCGCAAGGAAAGGTTACAGTGAGCAATGTTCGCTTCTCTGTGGTGTCTTTGTGGATTTAAATGAAGACATTGATGTCTTCGTGACCCTTTCGTATGCAAACTGTGCTGCCCCGACTCCTCCGTGTATTTTAGAGGGGATAGTTGGGAGTAAGGAAGTCCTGGAGGGCAGTGTGCAGGTATCTGGCGCTTTGGTAATGTCACCTTGAGCATTGTCAAACAGAGAGGCAAAACAAACGGCTGCCTGTTTAGATCCATCTTCTAAGACTAAAGTCAGATTCCCTGAAGTCATCTTCCGTGTGCACAAGCGACTGGAATTACTGCATGCTTAGGAGAGGATTTCCGTACTTGCCTCGTGGCATCACCCATAAGCTTGTTGTCAGATGTCATGTTTCAGCCTGTCCCAGGCAGTTCGTTGCTCTCTCTGCCTTCATTGGTTCTCTGCTTTTGTTAAGCGTGGTGATAAAAAGAGTCAAAGTGCGAACAGAAAACTGGAGAGACTACACGAAAATGTGCAGTCCTTGCTTAATTAGTAATGATAAACTTCCTTAAAAAGAGATGAACTTTCTGTTAAAGTCCAGAGACTTTAATAGAAGTCTTTAACTTTATAGAGACTGTGCGGTTTACTGAGGATCAAACCTGCTTGATTGATAGTGCCAAAACTTTGATTATCTGGCTTTGTTTGTTGTATTGATGCTCTCTCCATATGGGCAGCATTTGCTGATGAGGAATGTTTTCGTGTTTTAAAGAAACTGATCCTCTGGTGAAGGTTGTGCCTAGACTGGGTGCTCTGCTGCCTGACTTTGCAGCCTCTCTACTATGGAGTCCAAGGGGGTTCTCTCCAGACACCATCTGTGGTATCCTGAACTATTCCATCCAGGATGCCTGTGAGGGATCCTAGATACAGATACTCAAGGCAGCAGAGACTCAGTATCTGGTAAGGCTGGTTGTGTCTTTGATCAGGACAGAAGACTCCAGAACCCTACACAGGCTTTTCAAGTCTGACTTTTGCATATGGCAAAATAACACATGAAAGTCAATATATCGGCTTTGAAAATACCCTAAAATCCTTTTGTAAGCTTTGTCAGACTGCTGTTCTCATTGATGATAGTTATTTCTTGTCACTGGCAAATCAGAYGGTGCCTCTCCTTCACACAGATTAGATGGTGAAAAACAGGGATGACTTCCTGCTGTGGAAGTGCCCTATTGACAAATAGGGCAAATGACAGAATAAGAGGAAAAAATGGCATGTATCAAGAGAAATCCTTGTTTTCAAACGAATTCCTTGATGTGAAGATAAAATATATGTGTGTTTGAAATCAAGTGATCTCACTCATTAAGGTTACACTGTTTTGCAAAATGTTTTGCATGGTTTTATTAAAGACATKATCATTTACAGCCAGCACGTTTGACCCTCTTAATTTTCTTCCTGTCTTTTGTGATGACAGTTCTGCTGTTGCTAATAAAAAGTCATAGGGCTTCATAGCAGCTGCTCTGCAGATTGAAGYAGGTGCTGCTGAAGCCTCTACATCTATGTGACAGTGTTTGGATGTTCTATGTCAGACTAAATTTAGTCTGGTCTTTCAGAGCTAATACTCCCACCACGCTTATGATTTGAAGGTATCTGAAGGAACAATGATGGATCCTGACACCTTTGTTCCCATTTAGGAAATGCAGTTGTTGAGCTCATGGAGCAGAGCTTCTGAAAACTGGAATTTCCATCTCCTCTGAAAGGAATCTAGTTCACTTGGCCAGAACTTTGCTGTAAACTGAAACAACCCAAGGGAAAAGGGAATCACTGCTTCCAACCCCCTGCGATGTTTTTCTGAACAAAAATGTTCAGAGGCAGCATTGATGCAGCCTGTGATGCTGTAGAGTAGTCCTGCTGTAGCTCATCAGTAAAGAAATAATGCTTAATGCACACAAACCTTTGGATTTATTTAAGTGTAAATGAACAATATACAATTTTGTCGCTTTCTGGCCCTTCTGTGAATGAGAAGGTAAAAAAATCAGGTTAGGAATGCAAGAGAAATTTGAAAGCTAGAATGTTGTATTTATCATTAAGGGCTCTTTTGGAAACTCAGTCTGCTCTCTAACAACTGTTTTGCTGGAAAAAATATTTACTTTTAGAGTTGTTGTTAGCTTGCTTTGTAGATTGTTCATTCTTGCTAGCATCTGGAATTTGAGGAGTAAGTCTTGTTTTCTTTGGATTGTTATTTGTATTACAAGGGCAAAAACATTGCATTRCAAAACAGTAGTGGGAAGTATTTTTTGCTCATGAGTTCTTTGTTCTTTTTACTTTTCTGTCTGTTTAGAATATAACAGAATTTTACATGCCAATGTAGAAGAAATTGGGGCTTGGCAGCTTTTCAGCAAGGATGTTGTTTAGATGTCGACATCAGTCTTGGAGCGTCTGTGGAACGTGGCAGTTCCCAGAGTATTTTTATTTAGAATAAATTTGAGGAGTGCTTTATGTTAAATATAATCTAGGTCTGCCTTTTTTATTTTAGGAAGCTGAATATGGTGGGCACGATCAGATYGATCTGTACGATGACGTAATTTCTCCATCTGCAAATAATGGAGATGCTCCAGAGGATCGGGACTACATGGATTCCCTCCCACCTTCAGTTGGTGATGAYGTAGGTAAAGGAGCTGCACCAAATGTTGTCTATACATATACTGGAAAGCGAATCGCCTTGTACATTGGAAATCTTACCTGGGTAAGTATCTTACTACTGTTTAGTTATAGCTGGGCATAATAAAATTATGAGCATAATTCTTTGTAAATATTTTTGTTTTAAAGATAGCTGTTATCTGAAATACTAAGAGCGCAGCAAAGAGCTACCCTGAAATCTGAAAAATGGAATAAATCTTTAGTAAATACAAACTTCAAAGTTTTCTCTCCTCTCCTGTTATGAAAGGTTATTTATGCTACCGCCTTCTAAAGGTTTTCAGAGTGTTGAATGAAGGGGCAACAAATTTAAAATTAGCAAATATTTTATGCCTATGGATACTTAAAGGCTACCAAACTAATCTSTTCTTGAGTAATCCCTTGCTGAGTCTTTGCTTTTAAAAGGGAACTGCAGATTTCTCTTAAGATGTTATTAGAATTGCTTTTCATCCTTTTATCAAGGCCTTTTTCATTTCCCTTTTTTTTAGGTCATTGTCTCTTAAAACAGTTTTCAGGTATTTGCCTTGAGGCTTACTGCTGCAGTCTTGGGGGTAACAGGGTTGGGATGACTTATTGAACTGCACTTTCCCTTAGGATAATTCCATTTGTTTGCATTAAATCATTTTGAAATGAGTTGCATTTAAGCAAAGAAAGTGCAAATAGCTGAATTAACTAGAGTTTGTGTTAACCATTTATCTGGTACCCAATTCTTCTAAGACCATGCATTGAAAATTCTCATTCAGGGTTTTGTTTTTCTCCTCTATTGAAATGACTACTAGTGCTAAACTAGCAGAATAGTGCTTTACAGGTGTTTTTCATTAATTGTAATTTCATAATTACAGTGTCCTAATTTCAGAATCAAATAGGTAAGTCAAGAGTAATGACTTAACAATTACACTACCCTAAAATATGTATGTCAGAATAGAATGAGTAAAATGCACATGAGTTAGCTCAACTCCTGTGTCAGATGTCACAGTTAGCGTGGCCAGCGTGCAGCAGTTTGTATCTATTAATGGTTACATGTTTTTTCAAATAAAGCTGGCCACAAAAAGTGTGTTTACCTGCTTAAACGCTGCCATTGAGATTTTCTTCTTAGCAGTTAGATTTCAACAATTTGTTGAATTTTTGAAGGAAGCATTGATTTGAGGGAGATCAGAGAAGTAGTTCAGAATCTTGCAAGCCTGCTTTRCACTTTCCCTCATGACATTTAAGGGGATGATGGAGTTACAGACGTAGGAAGGAAACCATCTTTGGATGTGAGTGCAATTGTTAAACATTTCCCATTAACAAATAGGAAGTTACAGTAGGTGTAGCTAAGTGGAGTGGTGTCTCCATGGCTGCTAAAGCAGCATTACTAACCATGATTGCTATACCAGTTTTCCTCCTTTTTTTTCCTGTAAATATTACTACTTTCCTCTAAGTAATAYGTAACTCACTAGAACGACACTAATCAGAGTTCTTGAAAAGGCCACCTTCTTGGTTTGGTGTTTAAAATGGGAATTGAAAAAAATARTAGAATTGGCAGGAGAATAAAATCATTGGATATGGAAAGACATAACAGCTATTGCAATAATCCAGTTTAAGTCCAACTACACTTGAAAAGTGTACTTTCCCAAAACGAAAGTTACTAAATACAAATGGTATTTGATGTGCTATTGCCAGSATACTGTGTTGAAGGACTGATGCAATTTATTGTACAATAAGCATGTATGTTTTAAAACAGTTTGTTTTTGATAAATGTAAAATATAAATGACTAATCTCCAAAATATCAATAATCTCAGAAACATATTCCTATTAGTCACTTTCATAACAAAATTTAAATTAATGATTTTTAGCATGGAAGACTAGGTTGCTCTTTTCACGGCCTTGTGGTGTTTAAGACTTTTTTTAGTATACAACTATGAACACTTATTTTTCAGTGGACGACAGATGAAGACTTGACAGAAGCAGTTCATTCATTGGGAGTAAACGATATTTTGGAAATAAAGTTTTTTGAAAATCGGGCTAATGGCCAGTCTAAAGGGTAAGAACTTCTAAGTGTTTCTTTGTGTAGGGACTGAAAATTGAAAGGGTGGAAATGATGGAAGAGTTGTCATTTTTTGTAACTGAGTGTATGTGAACTGATTACCTTTGCCAATATCTCCAGAAATGACTGGACATATCATTTCATAGTAATGATTTAGATTTCAGACATTATTTCTTATGAATTTTATGAATGTGTGTTTTATGACTTTGTGAGTAAAGTTTTATTGTCAATCCTTATTAAGGCTGTGTTCCTAAGTTTTAGTTAGGGTGGTGGTGGTATTTGTAATCCCTCATAATGGAAATACTGTTCTCTTTCCCTCCCTGCCCCCATTATTAAATCTCTTAAATACTTGATTTTTCCATTAACTTTTGAAAGCAAGTGCTTGAACCTTGTTTCTCCCCTGTTGACAACCTAATCTTCCTTGCGTGACCRTGCCTCTGTCTCTCCTTAGCAGCAATGGGATTTAGCACACTGAATAACTAACAATAATTCAGTCATATGTGTTTATATATAATATATTTGTACTATACTACAAAGTTGCCTTTGTGTGATTTGTTTTGATATATTTCATAGCTGCACTCGCTTTATTTATTGTATCTTAAAATGAGATCTGTCTTTGAAACTGGACTTATGTGAGGCTGGGATATGTGAGGCAGTTCCTGTATTTAGTTTTCAAATACTTTTTTACTTAATGTTTTTCTTAAGGCATCARGAATCAGGATATTCGGGGCATGGAAACACTGTCATGAAACTCTTCTTTATTTCTTTCAGGTTTGCCCTTGTGGGTGTGGGATCAGAAGCATCCTCCAAAAAACTGATGGATTTGTTACCTAAGAGAGAATTGCATGGGCAAAATCCTGTTGTAACTCCATGTAATAAACAGTTCTTGAGTCAGTTTGAAATGCAGTCAAGGAAGAGTAAGCTTTTCTCTTGTTTATCCTGGGGAAAATAGGAGTTTATTCCAAAAGGATTACTGCAGTTTCAGTGTCCAATTGTTTGTGCATGGCTTAGAAAATATATATTTTATATATATATATATATATATATATATATATATATAAAAAATGTAGTCAGGTGAAGGAAGTGAAAGTTTTGATCAAAGATAATTCTCTTACTAAAAAAAAAAAAAATACTGAAAATCTTATTTGAACAGGAGAGCCTGTGGTCGAAGCAGATTGCAGCTTCACGAAACTCTTATGTTAAAAATGGACAATTGGGACTCTGTGGAACATTGATTACTTATGTAGGACCTTTCTTCAGAGCAATTTCTCAGAATCTTTAGTGAATTGAGCTTGAATTAGGACAGTGAAATTGCATGATTTTGTAAGGCAGCCCAACCTGGGGTGTTTGTGACCCTGCTTCTTCCCTTGCTTTAATGTTGATGCTATTCTTACCCCTCAGTGGGCAGGTTTAACACTCCAAGCTAAAAGGAAATTAATGATTTGGGTGTTTTGTTTTTCCTGGATTATCTTTCTGTTGCCTTCTTGGCTCAGGCAGGCATTAGTTTTGATGGAGGGATGGGAGTGTTTACTTGAGGAAAGAAATGTGAATGGCAGCCTCAGCTTGTGTCACTTCACTATTCTGGAATTGCAGAGTTACTGCACTTGAATTAGTCCCATAACAATCTGTGATTTATTTCTTTTGCCTACCTCTTAAGTAGAGACTTTTTTTTTGTAAAACACTTAAGAGTCATCTTTGCAAAGTTCTGTGTAAGCTTGGAGAATAATTACATGCTGTTATTGAAGGGGTCTTCCTGGTTATGATGTAGCGCTGCACATGCCTTTAGATCAAGAATTGGAAAGCTTTATCCTATTTTGGATTCTGTAATTACGTTTTTGCTTTTCATTGCAGCCACGCAATCTGGTCAGATGTCCGGGGAAGGAAAAGCTGGTCCCCCCGGTGGAAGCTCACGTGCAGCTTTTCCACCRAGTAACAGAGGACGAGGCCGTTTCCCGGGTGCTATCCCAGGTGGAGACAGATTCCCTGGACCTGCAGGGCCCGGAGGACCACCACCACCTTTCCCAGGTAAAAATTAATATGTGAGGCTTTGGTTTTATTTTTGTTTTCTTGCATTAATACAACATGCTTATTTGGGGAACGTAAAAAAAAAAAAAAGTAGGAATTAGGTTAATATGTTACAGATGTTTACAGCTGGAGTATAGGATTCTGCAGTATCTTTTTGTTGCTGTTCTAAAGTTTCAGTTCCAACATAAGAGGTTATTTGAAGTAATAAAAGACTTGGGACAGAAGAATACATTTCCTAGCAATATAAACATTCTGTATAGTGTACCAGTGTACTTTTTGGTTCTAAGCATTAAAAAAATAAAGGAARATTGTTAGGAAACAGACTTGTCATTACTGCAGCGTAGTTCTGATTTTTCTAACTCGGTGGGTGAGGAGAAAATGTCTGTGTGGGAGATCAGTTGTCCAGTGGTGCAAAGTACTGCATACCTTAATTCATTGCTAGTTTGCACATGATGAAAAATTCAATTTGACTTTGATGCCCACTGGCAGGTCAGTTGGGTGGMGTTTAAAACACCTCTAACTTAAGGAGGAAGTGGTTGTATGTAGTCGGGGACCTGCTATGGGACAAATCCCCATCAAGCCATGAGCTTGCACTCTGGTTAAGCTCTCATTTCAGCTTAAGTCTTTCTAATAAACGTCAGTCTGAAGTAGATTGCTATTAACCCTGGAAGGGAAATGGTCAGGTCTGAAAGCTGTTAACGAGTACCTGGTCATTCTGTGTGGGTAACAGAGCACTGGAACAGGCTGCCCAGAGCTGCTGTGGAGCCTCCTTCACTAGAGATACTCAAAATCCTGCCAGGATATGATCCCAAGCAACATTCTCTAGGTGTCCCTGTTTGACCTGGGGGTTGGACTAGGTCATCTCCAGAGGTCCCTTCCAACCTCACCCATCCCGTGATTCTGTAGCRGAGTGTATGCTAACACCCAAAGGGAAATGGTCAAATTGAACAGCCGCTAATTGAAGTAATCTAAAGGTAGTTCTGGATACCTTGTTTGCCAGACCTTCTTCAATACATTTACATATATATGTGTGTGTGTGTGTGTATACATACTTACGCATGTGTATATATATACACTTACATATATATGTATGTATATGTATATATATTTTGTATACTATATATATAAAATAAATAATGAATTAATAAATATTATATAAATAAATATGTATAAATAATGTGTATCATTTTACTTACTTGAAACACCAGCTGCAAGTGTTAGTAGGCTGCAGTCTTTCCTAGTTCAAGCTTTGGGGTTTTTGGTAGTGATAGCAGGTGACTGAGTAGTGCTTTATTTATTTGTTTTCAAGTTAATGGTGTTCCCTCTGGAATACTGACCATGAGGTAACTGTTTGGGAATAGGTAGCTTGGTAACTATTAATGTGGGACCACAAGTGCAAGTTGCGTGTTGTTCAGTGAGGTTAAAATCAAAAAGAATTAATCATTTCAGTAAGACTTTTACTTCCCTCTTTTTTTTTTCSTTTTCYTTCTTGTCTTTTTTTCTTTTGTTTTCAGCTGGACAAACTCCCCCGCGTCCACCCCTAGGTCCTCCAGGCCCGCCAGGCCCACCGGGCCCTCCACCTCCCGGTCAGGTCCTTCCTCCTCCGCTCGCCGGGCCTCCGAACCGCGGTGACCGTCCGCCGCCACCCGTTCTCTTCCCGGGACAGCCTTTTGGTCAGCCGCCCCTCGGGCCGCTTCCTCCCGGCCCCCCGCCACCAGTCCCAGGCTATGGGCCTCCGCCAGGCCCCCCGCCACCTCAGCAGGGTCCACCGCCACCCCCAGGCCCCTTTCCCCCTCGGCCTCCTGGCCCTCTGGGGCCRCCCCTGACTCTGGCTCCTCCTCCGCACCTCCCCGGGCCGCCGCCAGGTGCCCCCCCACCCGCACCGCACGTGAATCCAGCCTTCTTCCCCCCACCCGCCAACAGCGGCATTCCCACTTCGGACAGCCGCGGGCCGCCGCCRACCGACCCCTACGGCCGCCCTCCACCCTATGACAGAGGTGACTATGGGCCCCCTGGCAGGTGAGTGCTTTTGCCGTGCTCCTCTTGATAGCCCTGGCGGGTGTTCCTTGCAGGAAGCACTTGCTTTTCTTTCCTTTTGAAAGCAAGCTTTTCAGGAATAATGGAAAATAGGCTGGAAGGGGACCCATGAGGCTTCTCATTTTCCCCCTTTTCAGTGAAAAATATCTCAAAAATATGTTTGTAGACTTAAAGTCTTGGAATGCAACCCTAGTGTTCTCCTTTCCATCTCTGCACCCTRCGCTGTGCTCATCGTTCACGTTTGCTGGTGTCCCTCCATGTGTCCTCTCTGGGGACTTCCTCGTCCCTTCACACGCGGGTGGCTTGTGGCTCTGCTTCTGTCCCAGCTCGAAACTCTCGTTTGTGCCCTTGCCCTGCTGCTGTGCAAGCTGCCTTGTTAGGGTGCTCTGGGGTCTTCCTTGTCGAATGTGAGCGTGCACCGAGTACCGCGTGGTGCCAGCAGCTCCGGCTGTCTCCTCCTCATCTTCTCGCAGCTCTGCTGGAGTCCTCAAAGTTAATCTTTTTGTCTCAAAAAAGATGTGTGTGTGTGTGTGTGTGAGATTTTTATCTTGCTTTTCTGTCAGATTACTCGTGCTCTTTCAATCTTCCTGAGTTTGTAGCAGTAGCCTTTTATATGGTAAATTCAATCGGGGACAATTTTGGGGCGTCTCTGACTTGGTTTATGAAACTTTTCAAGTGTCTTAAATGTGTTTGTGCTTTCAAACGTCTCTGTCTTGCTACTCTTTTTTAATTTCCACTATATTTGTGTTCTTTAAAACATTTGGGGATAAATCGTAAGAAATGCACTTTTAGATGCACATGGATTTTTTCATTTGTGGTTTTGCTCTTGGTAGGAGAGACTTCTAATGTAAAGCTTCTTTCTGCAAAGACACTTTCCTTCCTTATGCATATAATCACAAAAGTGTTTTTGTTTTTTAACAAGCATTTGTACATACTGTGTTCATACAGAAATTGTAGAAATTCAAGTGTTTGGCTTATTTGCCAGAAATAAATACGTTTATTTTGATAGACAAAATCTAGGTTGTCCACAGTTTATAGAATGGCTGGGGAGGGAAGGAGTGGGAATAGGACAGTATCACTTTACTTGCTGTCCAGTATTTTCATTAATAATGTTAAAGCTATCATCCATAACTATTTAAATTGTCATTAATTATATACCATAGGCGTTTCACTGGAAATAACATGTCCATAAGAGAAAAAATACATATTCCATTCTATGGGAGGCACACGAAAAATAATACTCAAAACTCAGGGAGGTATGAATTTTTAGACATTTCCTCTTATGCTAAACTGGCTATAGGATCTTGTTCCACTTCTTGCACTTAAGAGGATAGCATTGCTTATGATCTGCATTTTCCTTCTACCAGAAGAACTAACACTGTTTTAGAGATATCRTCAAGCAGTGGGCCAGTTTAACAGCTCAACTTTTGTCTCTTAACACGTTCCTCCAGATTTTCTGTACGCAGAGGCTGGTTAATAGGACGCTGCAAAACTTTTTCTGAGAGTTAACTTATGTTACTTTGGAAACTATGTATAGGCAGTTAATAATTAAAGAAAAAAAGTGTAATTAGAATACAAGTAGTTGTGTTTATTGCTTTCTCTTTACTGTGACCAGTTGGGGGATAAATTCAGAGCACCTTGAACTTGATCAGAAATATTATTAAAAAAAAAAAAAAAAAAAAAAAAAAAGCTGTAAAATATTGAAGTGGTTTTTCAGGAGATAGAGTGTTTTAAAGATGATGGGCAGAATTTGCTTTACCTAAGTTACAGCATTCCGGTCTCAGGAATCTGGGAAACAGGAACGTATAGTTCTAATTCAGTTTTGTAATAAAAATGATCTCTATTTTTGCTCAAATTGCATTACCTGTGTATGTGCGTTTCCACATCCATTCCATTAAAGTAATATTTCCTTACATTCTTTCAAGGGTTTTATGGAAATAATAAATATTTGTAAAGCACAGTATTAAGTGCTGTTGAATCTTCAGAGTGAATGGGATGAACAAGAAATAAGCCTTTTCATATAGTAGATAGCTTAACTGTTTTTGTTTCATTGTTTTGGGTATTTTTTTTTCTTTTACCTTTTCCTTTTAGCCTTCAGGATTTTATATTGTAATATGGTCCTGCTTTCTTTTCTGTTTGTCACTTTGCTTAAAGTTGCAAACTTGGATTGTTAAAACTGCAATGCTTTCTTCATAAGTTTTTTTTCTTTCTGACCTAATTAAATAGTAGTTTTATTACTTGCAGAGAAATGGATGCTGCCAGGACACCTCTGAGTGAAGCAGAATTTGAAGAAATCATGAATAGAAATAGGGCGATCTCAAGCAGTGCCATTTCAAGAGCTGTATCAGATGCCAGTGCTGGTCAGTAAAACTTGATTAATATTTTCCGTTCTACACCACTGGAAAGAGCTTAGAGTTTTCCTGTTAAGAAACTTGCAACCTGAAGCCACATTTATCTAATTAGGATGTAAGACTGAATTTAGGCACGGTGCACTCAATTTTTTGACGATACCCTCGATTACGGAACTGGATGGTATTTTAATATTTGGTCCTGCAGTAAAGGACCAATTTACTGATTGGTAAATCAGTAAAGGTTTACTGAAGAGAAAAAGAACATATACTGAAGAGAAGACACTCCAGCTGGTAGCATTGTTACAGATGATAAAACTTAGTTTTAATTTGCATTATTTTCTAATGATGACTTTATATCGTTTTCAGGGGATTATGGAAGTGCTATAGAGACGTTGGTGACTGCGATCTCCTTAATTAAACAGTCCAAAGTATCGGCTGATGATCGTTGTAAAGTACTTATTAGCTCTCTTCAGGATTGCCTTCATGGAATTGAGTCCAAGTCTTATGGTTCTGGATCCAGGTAAAACTTTCCTCTTCCATCTGCAACCCTTTATTAAAATTGAAGGTGGAGGACGGGGCTGGCTTGCAAAGGAGGATATGGGCCGGTTAAGGAGCTTAGTGACAGCTCAGTTGCACAAGAAACATGTGAAGGAAGCAAATGCTGGTTTGCTAATTTCCAAGTGATATGATTTTCAATTAGCCTACTTTTTGAAACTAATCTCACCAGCCTAAGTGTGACTTTTAATTAGTATCTGTTTTCTAGATGATCCTATTATATGTAAACATCAAAATAGAATTTTCCTTTAGCAGTTAAGTGGTCCGATATGTACTTCTGATTATAATTTGCTGTTGAAAATTACAGTTGAGGTATATGGTACCAATTTTCATTTTGTTTAAAGATAATTTTATCTGTGTTTGCCATGCAGCTGAGGTGGAGAATAAGCTGGGCATAGTGTTTTTGTCTGTTATCCTTTATCATGTAATGTAAAAATAGCAAGTAGGTAGGTCTGAAATTCAYGGACCCCTACCCAGGGCAAATCAGAGATGAATATTTCCTTAAAAGCTTAAATAACACCCCTTTCAGTGTTAGGCCAAACACAGAGCCTGTGGTATGTTTGGACACTGCAGCAGTGGTAGAGCTGGCGYTGGATATTAACAGCACAGACACAGCTGTTGCTCGCACAGATGCTCAGTACCCAGATGAGCTGCCACACTGCAGTGGTCTTCTGAGGTGTGGTGTGTTCCTCCAGCTGATGCCAGCCAAGTTGGCCTCCATTCTGTSCACGTGCTTTCTGACTTCCCCTTGAAGATTAGAAAGTGGCTGGTTTCTTCTTACTGTCTCTGAGCTCTTAGCCACCAGCCATCTTCCACGTTACATTCCAAAACATTTCCACCCCACAGTGAGCAGGTATTTCTCTCATACCCTCTTTGATYACACAATCAACATGTGGGCGACTTACACTTTGAGGCAAAAATTAATGAAGTAATTTCTTTTAGAAGACGTGAACGATCCAGGGAGAGGGACCACAGTAGGTCAAGAGAGAAAAGTAGGCGCCACAAATCACGTAGCAGAGACCGTCACGATGACTATTACCGGGAACGGAGCCGTGAGCGAGAGAGGCATCGTGACCGTGACAGAGACCGCGACAGGGAACGTGACAGAGAGCGAGAGTATCGTCACCGTTAGAGAAGGTGAGCACTTGTTTCCTGGTTTTGCACTTATTTTTAGTAAACCCTTACCAGTTCAACTCGACTGTAGATTATTTACACAGTGTTTAAATGGTCCAGCAGTATGTACTGAATCACTTTCTTCTTGTAGCACCTGAATAAAACTTCGGTAAGTAATGACAGGTAACTGGCTGTGGGAGGGAGGGAGGGGCTGTGTGATTCCTTTCTTCTGCAGTGTGCATGCCCTTCTTTCTAATATCTTCTGTGGTGTGGTATTAACTGTTGCAGCCCTTAAGAAGGGGGATAAAACCAATTCTTGAAAAAGCAGTAAGGCAAACTCGTAAGTCTGCTCCCTCTCTCTAATCTTGGAATGTTACACCATGTTCATGGTTATATTTTCACTTGTACAGTATTTGTGATTATATTTTCACTTGTAGCACCTTTGTGGTTATATTTTCACTTGTATTCTAAAATAACAAATCAATCTGTCCAAGGACTGCAGCATTTAGCGCTTATATATATAATGCCTGGATTATATCCGTGGAGGGAACACAGGTATGTATTGTTGCAGTCCTTGCACAAGTAGATCGTTTTTTTCTAAACTTGGTTACAGTGATTTTAACATGAATTCAAAAATGTAGCCAGACTTTGCTTTAATTTTTGAGATGTGCCCCCCCCCCCCACACACACACACAGTATTTTCTGCCGCCTTAGCTTTTAACCAAATTCAGGTGTTATGTTTTATTAGACTGATGGTTGGTTGTTCTCTCTTCCACTTACCAACTTTTTCCATTTCCTCCACCCATGTGATAGAAAAGCCATTGTCTGAAGGCTAATGAACAAATGTATGGCCAAGGATTGGTTGTTTTCTTGGTTGTTCACATGCTAAAATGTTCTTTTATTTCATATGTCTGCAGTCGTGCATGCATTAAATATCTAGATAGCTACAAAGTTAGCACTCTGATTAATGCTTTTTTTTTCAGTTTGCTGCTGAGGGTGTTAAATTATATAGGAATGTTCATTACATTACGTAATGTCCCATTTTGAGGATCAGTAATTGGAACTTTTCATGATTCTTTGTAATTGACGGTTGGAATAAAAACCTGCCTCTTTCCTTCATGGAGGTAGTCTTCCATTTTTAGGGAAAAAAAATCYGCTAAATCTGAGCTTAAATTGAAGTTCAGCAGACCTGCCTATCTGCCTAACTTCATTTCTTATATTTACCTTCACATTTGGGTTGCGGATTTGCATGTGGCACTTATTCATGGAAACTCATTTGCAGAAGTTAAAGCAAATCTTTCCAGAAATCATACAAACTATATTTCTAAATAAAAGCAGACCTACACTTCTGTATCAGTTGAACGCCAGGTTTTTGTGTCATGTTCCTAGTGCTTTTGTGGCACTGAGTCCTGGAGAGAACAAAGTGTGAGACCCAACACTGGCCTGTGCAGTGTTACGTGGGCTGCTCTTTTGGGATCCGATGCTCCCAGTGCACTGCATGTAAAGCAGTAATAGACCGAGAAAAGCAGAATCAGAGGCTTAAGGAGGAAGGTGAAACATGAGAGCTAAAAAACAAAGCTGGCAGTGGTAGTATATATCTCTCAATGCCACTTTTTGTTCTAAAAAAATGGCTTGGTAAAAATGTTTCTGCAGTTTCACAAAGAAAATAGCAACTCTGTTTCTTAACTGTAAAATGTCAGAACATAAAAATACAGATTTAACAGGGGTAAATGTAGTTTCTTTTGTGGAATTGGATTGGATTTTGCGACATTTGCCAATAGTTACTATTAATAACTATGATTAGAAGGTAATCATTGAGCTAAACTATGGATGCATATGCAGAGTTTTTTTACTTCTGTTGGAAAGGAGCAAGCTCTACTATAAATTGTATAGTAGGTTGGATTTTTTTAACCCTTGACATGCTTTGTTAATMAAGCTTCAATTTTTGTGTATGTAGACTGTTATGTATGTAGCTATGGAGTTTCTGTGCTAAGTACAGATTCCTCCCTGCTTCTTCTCCCCCCTAAAAAGCATCTTCAATGTTATTAGGTTGCTTTTGGTCATTACCAAAACACAATTTTCAAGTGGATTTAATCCTACTGTGAGACTGTGATTTTGGTCTCAGTTCAGGTGAAATTAAATATGCAGCTGCCTTGAGCTCTATTGTGTGCTGGGACTCGACCTTTTTCAGACGAGTTGTGTAGCTGAGACTCCCTTGCACGAAGAAGAAAATAGGTTGTAACAACTTGATAAAAGGGGCATTTAGTATTCTGTATGTAAATGCAAGCATTTGGTATTTTTGAAAAGATAAGTTGTAAATATTTTGTTATGTTACTGTCTTAATGAAGGAGGACTTTTTTGTAGTTTTGTTCATATATACATATATATATATATAAAAATACAGTGATCTTCTGGTTTGTATGTTTCATTTCCACCAAGATGTATGTCACCATACATTTTTTTGTTTTGTTCTTTGCATTGCTTAATATTCATAAAGTGATTTAATAGTCTCAGTCACTGAATAACAGCAGTACTGAAAGGAGCTGCTCCCCATATCGCTGTGTTTTACCAGATAAATTGCATTTGCCTGTGTGCCTGCATCTCTTGAATGGCACSTATGCTTATATCTGTGTGTAACTATAGTCATAACTGTGAAACTGTATTGGCATATTTTAAAAAGACCTTACACATCCAGATTAGAAGGGTTTTAAAGGTTCATTGTGAACATCTGTTGTGTACAGTGAAATTTGGTTTGTATTGTATTTACTTACATTTATAGAGGTGGATTAAATTGGAATATGATTTTAAATGTGTTCTATAAAACTCTCCCTCCCCACTACCAAAAAAAAAAAAAAAAAAAGGAAAAAATCAGATGTACCACAGCAGGTATTTACACTTCTGTTTGTACACTTTATTGTTTAAAACAACATTGTCACCAGACTGTTGTATTATTTTTGCTTGAGTTAAAGCTTTCCTATGCACATTGGTAATACATTCCTCAGAGTTGCTGTAAACCCAATGTTTCCTTGAGGTATTTTGCCTTTGCTAGTAGAAAGGCTTATTGATGGGTTTTGAAGAGGAAAAAAAAAAAAGACAAATAAAAAAAAGACAAATATCCAGCCAGTGTGAGTTAATTCAAACAAAAAATTGGATATAATCATATTTAGAAGTATTCATAGTAAAATGAATGTGTACAAACAGAACAGTAATACAGATTACTTGATCAAAATGAGCCCTGACTTTTTTTAGACAGCCTCTTTCTATAGCTCAACTGATATTTCATTGATGTATTTTAGCTGATACATTGTCCCAATCTTAATTTGTCTGAATTTCTATAACTGCTGAATGTTAAGCTTTTCATTTTATGTTCTTGTTATTGGGTCAATTGATTATTTTCTATTTAAAATGCATTTGGACTGAGTTGCAAAGAAAAACTACACTAACATTGTAACAGCTGATGTGTATGTAGACTTTGTATTCCGTATTTCATGGCTTTCCTCTGATTTTTTCTGCTCTCAAACCACTGTAAGCAAAACCATGTAAAGTGGGATGTACTTCCGAGGCTCATACTCATCTTCAGAATGTGATTTCATCTATCCTTGAAATAGTTTTGAGCTTTGGAGTGGTTTAAGAACTAAGAGTGTGACGTTTTTTGGTGTCAGGAGGGGAAATGGCACTTTACAATATTAATAAGTTGCATTATGTTTTTGTCTGTCCAAATAGGAACTGGCCTGTGACAGTGCTAGCCGCCACATGAACAGGGAGCGAAGCAGGAACATACATTAGCTTTTTAAGAAACCTTGCAAATGAATACCAAAAGGCCGATTTTGTAATTGTTTTAATAATAGGGCTGGAAGAAATAACCATAAACTGAAGCATCGGAAGTTCCACGGGAACTTAAGAAARCATTTCTTAACAGTGAGGGTGGCAGAGCCCTGGCACAGGCTGCCCAGGGAGGCTGTGGAGTCTCCTTCCCTGGAGATCTTCCCAACCCGCCTGGATGCCGCCCTGTGCCCCGTGCTCTGGGTGTCCCKGCTGGAGCAGGGGGTTGGACTGGGGGATCTCCAGAGGTCCCTTCCAACCTCAGCCATTCTGGGATTCTGTGATAAGTTTCTAGGTGAATCGTGGCAGCATCTTTCAAGAGTGAGGGGTATATAGCAAGGAACCTGGGACTGTTTGAAGTCTCCTTAATTATTAGTGAACACTACTTATCTAGTTTCTCTATTTTAAAACGTGCTCTCGAAGCAGCAGCTGTGTGGGGCTGCAGGAAATGGCGCCGTGTACAGAACATTGTTTTCCTCGGAGCTGCTGCCCGGTGGTTGGGCCCTCCCCGCGGCGCCGGGCGCTCCGGAGGCGAGGGGCGCCTCCAGCCTCCTCCGGGCGGGCGGCCTCTCTGTGTCCTGAGGGGTGACAGGGTGAGCGCAGAAGCCGATGAACCGGAGATGCTGCTGTTCATTTTCAAATACATCACTGCGTAGCTTAGTGGATACGTGGGTTTTTTTGTTTTTTTTTTTTTTTCTCCTCCCTCCATTAACATGTTGCTGTAATTTTGTTCTGCTCTGGGATGTTGTGTGTTTACATTCCCCACATCCTGGGCCTTGTTTTTCCTCGTTTCAGCCCTATAAAAGCTCCCTGAGAAACTTGTCCTCTAGGCTGGATAACATTTGAAACATAGGGAAGTTACTAAGTTACTAGCCTGTGTAAATGCTGGACTGATAGTGCTCTCCCCTGCCCCCTCCAAAAAAAGAGGGGGCACAAATTCAGTCAGTTCTTATAATTTTTCTTTTGCTTATTGTGGTTTGAGAACTAAGATTTCCTACTAAAAAAAAAAAAAAAAAAAAAAGAGCTCTTCATTTTATGTTTTCCTGTGGCAGCCTGATCTACCTTTTTGTGTCTTCCTCATATATTAATGTCAAAGATACTTACCTACCTCACAGCTTTTCAGTTCGTGAACTAAAATCTATTTTTTTTCTGAGCACATCTGTGTTCATCAGGTACTTTGGGTGAATAGACGAACTGAGTTAATAGGAGAAGAATGAAATTATGGTTTGGGGATATATGTTTTTCCTTACATATGTTTCTGTGGTGTAGGAAACTGTTCTGAATTACACTTTATGAGATTGAGCAAAGGTATCAGGTAAGTACAGTAATGGAAAGAAGGGAACAAACTGAAAGTGCTAATGTGAAAGAACAGTGGTTTGTAAATGAACAGTGACAATGTATCCTGCATTACATGTAGAAAGGCAAATACAGAGTCAAGGTTGAAACTTGAGGGTTCCTGCTCACTGTGTTGTAGCTGAACCATCATGTTATTTGGAGGTCTGTGACGTTCTGGAACTCGGGTTGGGTTAAGATCATATTTGGCCACCAACGTGTGGGGCTTTAATTTCGTGGGAGAGAGCGTGTTTGCTTTGGATAAAGTATTTTATGTATATATAGAACGCAAAGAATGCATARGTTATTCTTAGGAGCAGTTAGGATACAGTGACAAATATGTCATTCRTCTTGCTCGAATGTGAACCTGTTGGGAGGCTGAAATTCAGATAAATGGTTACGCTGTCCTACATGAACTTAAAGCACTGCAAACATACAACTTTAAATGACTGTAGAATTTGCAGACTTTAAAAGCTGTTTAAAGCTCCACATTCCTATTTGGGTGATCAGAATTAAAGAAGTTAAGACTTGCTACTGCAAGATGCTTTAGATAAAATACACACCTCTGGGGTTTTTGTTGTAAAATTCTGTCTTTGTGAAAGCCAGTACTGAATTGCATCTTGCTTAAAGATAAAAACATTTACTCACTTGAGTTAACATTCTGGGATTTCATTTATGAAATGTTCAGGTATAAACTACTAAGCTTTCAACCACGAAAGAACTATTTAACAGATAAGTCTGAGGTTTGGATTTGATTAGAAATGCTGAGAAAATGTTTGCTGTGTGTTGTTAAATTGTACAAATCTAACCTATGCTTGGGACAGACAGCTCAAATTAACTTTACACAGAGGGAAAAGAGCGTTGCCAAGAAGCATTAACTAAAACTTTGATATTATTTTTCTTTTTTTCTAAAAAAAAAAWAGTTATTTCTTAATTCAATATTCTACCTCCTTGTAGAATACTGAAAAGTGCGGAATATGAAGGTATAATCCATACGGTTTTATTGCCTCCTTTTGGAAYTACACTGGTTTTCTGATTTTGCCAAACTATAGTGGCAGAATTCTTTGAACCAAAATTTCTACCCCCTTCTGGGGGACTTTGATGGGTTTTTGATCAATTTTTATAAATTGAAGGTTCGGTGTGATGCTGGCCATCTTAAAATCCCTACACTGCAAAGCACTGATCCTTGCTACAGCTTATCACTCATTTTTTAAAGTTCCTGTAGTTCCACAACTACCATTACAAATCTAGCAAGTAATTCCCAGGAACCAAAGCTTTCTTACGCTAGTATAACAAATCACATACCCAGTGCTCCGGATCTGTTAACTTTTGCCACAGAAATGATAAAGATCCATAATTCCTGCCGTAGCAATTGTATTATGAGAGCAGCAAATTCTGACATACAGTCTTACAGCTGTCATATACTTGTTTGCCCCACAGCAGAACAGAGTCTTCCCTGTTTGCCCACGCTGGCTTAGCTCAGCTCTGAACGTGCCCCACTGAGAGGGCAGCACTTGGTCGCTTTGCCACTGAAAACTTAGGTTTTATAAGAGCTCTTTGAGATGTTGGTCTCTGGAGAAGTGTTTTCCCCAGGAGCAGTTCCTGGTCCCTGTGCTCATCGCTTGAGAGGGGGAATTTGTAAAAAAGAAAACAAATTCCAGTCAGTGCTTCATTGGATTAATGTATGTGTGCACTGTACTACACAGAGCCTAAACTTGGTTATATCTATTTTAGCGCTATATTAGTCTTAATGGTCACTTTGAGGAAAGGAGGGAGGAATGTGGTGTTCATACAAAAAATAATAATAAAAACGATTACTTGGTTTCCAAACTGTTTTGAATGACCATAATAGTAAAAGAGTCTTTGACAGCTGTGTACTGGTGTATGCTCATGAAATTGCTCCTCTAAATGTCTGTTTTTCAAATGAACAGTTTAATGTGTTGGCTTTTTATACAAGCTGATTTAAATTTATTTTGAAATTATTGAATGTTGAAATTGTGACGTACTAATGAAATGAAGCTACCTAATTCTGTTTTGTAATGCGATTCAACTGAAATCCGGTGTATGGAATTATACCATCCCCAGTATTTTGTGAACTCTGACAGTAATGACCTTTGAGTGGCGTGGTGCCTAATTCGGAATCACAATCCAATAGAGCAGAGTARGAGGTAGAGTGGGGATTTTTCTAGGGAAAGTAGGTGGGAGAAACCAGCAAATCTCTGTTGTGTTACCTGAAAACTGAGTTCTTGTGACTAAAATGTGAGCGTGTACTTTCAGCTGCGAAGGCCCTGCTGCTTGCCTCTAGTCTGAAAATCCCTTGGGTATTGGTATATCAGATTCTGTGCACTTGCAAATGTGACTGGGCTGTGAGCCATCCACTTCGTTTTATAATCAGTGCTTTATTTAAATGTTAAGTATATCGGCTGCAAGCAGGCAGGCGAGCCTGCAAAGGAGAAATCTAGTTGTGGCCAGATAATCTTACGTGCTTCCTCATTTGCTTCTCCAAATGCATTCTTAGGAGGTGTCCTATATAAATGTTTCCATCAATCACGGAAACAGTAGCTATTTCTTCCTTTATRGTTCAATTCTCCAATTGAATTTTTGCATTCCTTCAACTTTGTTGTACAACAACATGAATTTGACCTGTCAATTTGCCCTGTAAGACCATTTTTTGCACAAACAAGTAGCTACTGCTTCCCGGTACTTTGTGTTAGATGACATTACGGTGAAGTAGATGCACGACTTGTGTACGTATAGATAAGCCAACGTTTTTCTGTGTATTATGGGGACTAGCAAAATCTACATCACAAATTTTGACACATTACAGCTGAAGGAAGAGGAGCGGCGTGCAAGACAAGAACCGTTCTTCACGGCAAGATGCTTGGCCAGCAGTTTGCTTCATGTGATTGAACTGAGCCTGTAAGGATTCATGGATAAAATGAACAGGAATAGATCTGAATAAAGCAAATCTGCATACATGGTAACCAGTAGCTCTTTTACTTTTTTATGTTGCTTAACTGTTTTATTTGAGGGAAACCTGTGTGATTTAAACCTTATAGCTTTTTGCAACTTTATTACTGGTTATATACCTTTGGCAATTATAATGTGCAAGCAATTGGAGAAAGTCACGTAAATGCTTGTTTTTATAGTAGTTTGTTCTTGTTAAAATGTTCATATGATAATGTCTGTACACAGCACCACTTTGATTACAATAGATGTAGTGTTGTAATAAACTGTTTAATGGGGCTGATGTGTAAAGCTGTTCAAGTTATTTGATGTTTACACCTCAGGGAAAGTCTTGTGTTCAGCAATATTTAACGATAATGTTACAATGAAAACATTGATGCTGTCTTTAAAAAAAAMCATCGCAATAGTTCTTGCATATGCCTCAATCTAACCTTGCATTCAGCGAGTTAAACATACTCATGTTGCTCTCAGACATTCAATTTTGATACGAAAATAGGTGGTGACGCAGAGTCTTTAATGCTCTTTTGTTTTCTAGCAGTTTTTACCTAGGTGGCTTGTGAATTTGCTAAATGACGTATAAAACTGTAAAAACAGCAGCTCTGCGGTGCAAATTCTCCCTTTAGAGGAGAGGTGCCCCTGGGTTCACGGCTGACAGCTGAAGGTTGCATCTCTTGTATCACGTTGATCTTGATGGACACTACAGTTTATATTAACTTAAACTGTTCATATTTCGAGGGGTAACGATTAGCTTTAAAACAACATCTGCAGTTGTTTACAGTTTTATAGCAATGGCGCTTGTGGGGSAGAGTTGGTTTTTTACCCCTTCTCTCCCCTTTTTCCTCCCTTCCCAAAGGCCCCAGACAGCCTGTACATAGTTTGTATATTAGAAATGGGACGGAAGAAACCAGTTGTGTCCAATTTTTGGATTTTTTTCCTCTCCCCAGAGTAATGGGCTTGGTTTTTGCTTAACGCTGAGGTCTATTCGCACAGCCATTGGAGAGGTGCACTCGGGTGTCTTGGTTCAGCGATGGGCAATATTTACCTGCCTTAGCCAAAAGCGCCACTAACTAAATCTGTCAAATAAGGTTTTGTAAATTTACCAAAAAACAACCTGTTGGGGCTTAAGAGAAAGTTAGATTCAGATTACCAGAATTCGCTTTAGATCCCATTGAGTGCAAGATACACGAGGGGACCGTTTGCATCGTTTGCCAAACGTCACGTTCCTGGTAGCCTTGCACAAAGGCTCCCACCCATGCAGCCTGCTCCGTGTTTGGAGCTGAGTTGCAAGACCTCACGTGGCTTCAGAGGCAACTCTAGGGCAGCTCTAGATTTTTTTTTTTTTTTTTAATTTTTATTATTATTTTTTCTTACTGACTCAAAGATTTTTACGCTTGACCTAAAATATGGCACCCCATTCAGAAAAGCACTTAAATCCACTTGGTTTTTCTGAGGGCGTTTCAGAGCATGTGCTTAAATGCCATAGAGTTTAAGGAAACTTAATATATGCTTTAAATAATGTATAAGTAAGTGATTTTTTTTTTTTTTTTTKCTTTACTGAGCTGGGACCAGGAGTAGCCTGTGCAACTGCCAAAGTTTTTCCCAAGTTTGAAATGCTCTGATATTTTTGTCACTTGTCATTCAGCCCCATGTCCTGGAGACAGGCTGATTTTGTTGGACTTGGCTACAACCTTCAGACCCCCCCCCCCAACACACACACACTTTTTTTTTTTCTTCCCCTTAAATTGTGTACCTTGAGTTCTCATGCATGGGATCACTGGTGTTTACTGAACTATTTGCTACTGAGAAAGTATTTGAAATGTTTGTTTAATCCTGTTTGAAAAATGAAAACTGCCTTTTAAAATTTTGTATACTGAAAGTTGTATCAAAGAAGTCATGACTAATTTCCTGCTTTTTGTGAATAGGTGTTGGTTACAAACAGTACTGTTGTAATTTTCTTTTTTTTTTAACTTAAAAACTTTGTTCACTGCTGGGCATAATAAGTTTAACGGAAGAAAAAACCTGCTGTTACATGGGGAATAACTAATACTGAAGGGGCATCAGGTAAGTATTCATCCACTTTGCAGACCAATCTTAAAATAAAATTTAAAAAAGTAAATTTAAAAGCATTTTACGCAGGAACTGATATTTTACTCAACATAATAGATTTAAGGAGAGATGTTGTTTTACATAGCGGGTAATTTCTCATTCATGTACAGCTTTCCATTGCTGGCAATGGAAGTAGCAGGGAGACCACAACGTAAATTAAACTGAGAGATGGTTGTGGCTTGGGCGATGAAGCCCCGGGATGAAGCCCCTCATTTCCCCCCTATTCTCCGAAGTTTTAGTTGGAGCTGATAGCTCTGTCATCTGGTGATTTAAATAATTCGCTTTATTGTGAGCTTCGTTAGTTAGATTTTTTTTAAGAAACAAAATGTACAGAAAAAATCCAAAGAGCCTGATAGACACCAAAAAGGAATATCTGCAATACGCATGATGTGTAACTGGATCTGTAATAGGTTTTTTCTTTTAATTTTTCTCCCAGGTTTTGGTTTCTTAAGCATTACTGACAATTTCCTGTGTCCTCTCAGGAAATAGCGGTTTGTTATTTACCGGCTGCCGATGCTGCTCTGGTGGCTCCTGCTGTGTTCTTTTATATCCACTTGTAATTCACCTCCTCCTGTTGGTGCAAGTACAAAGTATGAGGAAAAACTTCATTTTTAAACACTGATTTTTTTTCCCCCTTTACAAGTAACATTGAAAGTAGTCTTATAAGGCTGTGTCCTGGCTCTTTCCTTGAAAGATGAAACCAAGAAGTGGTGATCTTGGGGAAGGGGGATGTGCTTGAGCAACTAAAGTTGTTTTATATATTTTTTTTCTGTTTAAGAAAAAATAGAGGTTGCTTTAAAAAAGACTGAAAATACTGTTTAAAAAAAAAAAAAAAGCTGGAATTCCTTCTTGGAATAAATATTTTGACAGGTCAAAAACACTTCTTGAAGAGAAGAACAAAATTCAGAAGACGTGCATTCCCCCTCCCCCTGTTCCTTTCTGCTTTCTGTGCCAATAATTTTAAGTTCTGGTTGCATTATGGAAAAATATGCCTGTCAGAACTTATTTAAATTTAATTACAATGTGACTTAAGAGTTTGGACAGCTGTTGGATTTTCTGTGTTAACAAGATATACTTTATTGAATTAAGGTGTTAGGTTTTGGTTTGGGTTTTTTTTTAGGAGTGGATGTTCTCTCTTCTTCTTTTCATTTAGACCAGTGAGGCTTAGTTTTCCTATGTATTTTTTATCTGATTGTTTAGTTGCATACCCAAATCCTTGTAAATGTTCTCCCTAGTTGTATGTGGCTAATTGCAAATTTACATGTTGTATATACTTGTCATATGTATTCCTAGAAAAAAATACATGTGATTCTTTATAGAAGTACTTAATTCCTGATTTCATTTTCTTACCTGTTTGCTTTCTGTACAGGTTGAACAGACTTTTCCCTAACTTTATTTATAGATTTTTTAAAATGAGTTACCTTTGGTCATTGTGTAGACTGAAACACAGCCTTAAATTCCCTAGCTTAATGCTTGAGCTCCTGTTTGTCATGTAGACTCAAGTATGACGTGCATGTTTAAGACTGATTTACTTCAGAAATCAAAGCCACCAAATTCTTCTGCGTTGAAATATTGACCCCACCGTATTTCACAGCAGCACGTGCAGATCAGGGTGCACATTCCTAAAGCAGAATGAATTCTTTCCAAAACGAGATCTGCCTTTGAGAAGAAGTAGGTTTAAAAAATAATAAATAGATGAGTGAATTAAAGGATTTAGGTTGCTTTGATGATGTAGATCTTGAGCAAAACAGTCACAACGTGCTGAATAGTCATGGTGTTTCTGCAGAAATTGTGTCTGGCAGCTTTACCCTATGTTGCCTTGCTCCTGGGGCGCAGGTGGGCTTGGGGCGAGTGACTCTGCTCTGCTCGCCCTGCCTTTCTCATGAGGTTGCCCTGACGTGCTGTGGGCTTTCAGATTGACTTCACCTTTAGGGCGTGAATTATTAGAGCAATTTGGAGCACAAAACTTCTTTAATTTGATGCTCTCATGGAATTTTTTCCATCTTAAATGAAATACAGTAACGCATCCCCTTCTGTTTGGGTAGTGTGCACTTGTTAGAGCTTCAACACTTCGTCATGCCTCAGTTATCCCTGTGGATATTGGGCTCTGGCGTGGCCCATATCTCTGCTTAAATGTTTAAAGCTTCATTGAAATACACTTAATTCTATTGGAATATCTTGAAAATAGTAAACTTACATGCATTTGATCCCGATGAGACAGAGCATTTCAGTTGTAAAAAAAAAAAAAAAAAAAAAAAAAAAATCCCATCGAGTCATACCGTGTAATAAATGATTTTACATGTTTCAGCGCTGACATTTTTGAATATATTGAATTAATATACCTTGGTGGCCTGACCCTCTTGTATACGGTATTTTGTAAGAAAAAAAAGTATTTTAAACTGTGCATATTATTGTTGCATTATGAAACAGACATTTGTGTGATCTTCAAAAATAAGAAATTGAGGAATGTGCTTTTATAAATACAAGTGGTTGCAAATTCACTTTCTTTATTAGTGCAGGTGTCCTTTTTTTTAAAAAAAAGCAATCAAATAAGCAAAAAAAAAAACTTTTAAAAATAAAATGCATTCCTATTTCTTAAACCTTAATATTTCTATGAAGATGAGCAGCACTGCTGACTTTTTAAGCATGAAGGGTGTGGTATCTTCCTGTACCCTTCCATTTCCAGGTTCCTGTTTTGTGCTAAGGTGCTATGAGCTGTTCAAGGAATTGTTTGGAATGGGCCATAGGACTGCTCTTAGTTGGGATGCAGAATGGCAATGCAAAATTTAGAGGTGGATGTTTGTCAGAGTGGCTGATTCCAAAGCATTTTGTGTGGAGTAGGGAGCAGTTTGCTGATACCGGGAGGCCAAAGAGCCTGTTGAATACTTGAGTGTCTGGAGACCCGTATTTCCCAACAAGGTAAGGTGAAATCCTAGCAAATGTGCATTTTAATGCATTTTCACTGGAGATACTTAGTCTGTAAGTTTTTGGGATACATCCTCTTTTTTTATTATTATTTTTCCCCCTTCAGTTTTTTACTTGAAACATTGAATGAACTTCTAGTTTTCATGATTTCCTTTTTTTTTTTCAGCCTTTAGGAGACTGTTAAGCAATTTGCTGTCCAACTCTTTTGTTGGTCTTAAACTGCAATAGTAGTTTACCTTGTACTGAAGAAATAAAACCCGTTTTTATAAATAAATAACTTGGTCTGTCTTCATTTCAGCTTGTCCGCGGTGCTCGCTGCGTCCAGAGCCCTGTCAGAGACCCTAAACCTTAGAGCGTGAGTGCAGTTACAGGCAGCTGATGGGCTGCAGTTATTTATACCAATATATAATAATTTTTTATACCAACTGCCGTCCTTCTCATCTGGTTTCTGAAGTGATCAAACACTTGGTGGCATTTTGAGCAAGTGAGAAGCACACACATTGTGCGGGGGGGGGTGGTTGCTGTTTTTTAAGGCAGTTGGGGTATTTTTGAGCTAACTGCGGTATTTTTATCTCTGACTTTTTGTGTGTGGAATAGTGACGTGGTGTGATATATCACTGTGAAGAGAAAGAAAGAAAAACATAAACAGTACTTCTTGTATTTGGGTACTTCAGGGCTTGTTGTCCAGCATGGACAACAGCGATAACAAAGCTCTCCCCCTCAATATATATACTTATATACTTTTAATCTGGCCTCCTTAATTGATCAACCTTCTTGTTRTCACAAGCTGAGCTTTGTCAGCTTGTCTGTGCGGAGAGGAGATGGTCTCTGGTGCCAGTGGAATAACCTGTAATGCACTGAAGTGGATCTCGGCAGTGCTGCTAGATCCTTGTCTATGTATAAAATACACGTGTAATATTAAATACTGAAAGCTGTTATTAGCGTTATTCTGTGCCATTCTAATGGTGAATTTAGTCTTCATAATATTAATTGCTGAAGATGATTTATTTTGTAACAATAAAAATCATATCTGTGCCATTTTGCAGTTTTAGCATCCCAGTTCGTGCCTTTGGCAAGCCTCGCATGTTCTGCAGGGGTAGGGTAAGGTGAGAAAGCAGATTTTTATTTGGAAAAATTGCTTTTTWAATTCTTGTAGCTTCAGAACAGTCTAATGTGCAAATTTTTTGTCTTGAAAATCTGAACAGTCATGATTTTATTTAAGTATGATTTTTGAATGAACGGATCTGAGTGATTCTATAGGTCCCTGAAGAGGAAACACTCATTAGAAAATGAGTCTGAATTTCTTTGCCTACTCCTCCAAATCCATAATAACTAAAATAACTTGCGGTGACTTGGAAGGTCTCGAACTTTAAAGTAGCAAAGAGCAGAGTAGGGTATGAAAACTTAACTTGGCCACAGATTATTTACTCTGCCAGGTATTTACTGTGCCAGGTGTGCCTGGAGTCTGCAGTTCACCTGGCTTCTTAACTAGATTAACCTGGATTTTGGCCCTGTTTTCACCAGCAAACCACATTATTTTGCTGTGGTTTGAATGGCACAGTGATAAGTGAAGTTCATCTGGGGCTCCTGACTTCGCTCTAGGTCGAGAGTACAGTTGAAAATTGCTGTTAATCCATTTTATTATTTTATATTTGAAGTACCCTGTGGCAGTTTTCCTGCAGGTTTGGGAGTTGARCGGTTCCCTTTACTGAGTGGGAATGAAACCCAGAGCCCGGTGGGCGTGGGGAGCACTGACTGCTAGGAAGTGGCAGATCCGTGTGGAGYGCAGGAGCACAGCGGGAGGAGCCGCCATATCCTCGGATCCCAGCGGAGCCCTTTCATTAAAGTTTCATGAAAGAAGAGTTTCCTTAAAACCTCTAGTGAGAAAAGTCTAAAATGTGGATTTTTGTTTGACACCATCAGTGGCCAGACCCTGCTCCGTGTGTCCCCCGTACCGAGGGCAGCACACACTGCAGAACTGCCTGTTGCTCTTGGCCCAGGGCTGTTTTCCATCTTGCAGAAATTTAAGGAGGAGAAAAATATACATATATTTTACCCTAGACCAGCAAGTGTCAGAGCTTTGTCTGGCTTTGTCAGAGCCAGGCTGCAGTTGCAAGGTGGGAGCTCATGGGAGAGGACCCAGGTCCAAGCAGATCATTTCCCCCTGTGCCCTTCCCCGTGCTGTGGGCCCTGCAGAAAGGGCTCTGGGTGCCCCCGTGCCGCCCCTCAGAGGGGCCCAAACCCGTCCCGTGCATCCTGCCGTTGAGGAGGAGAACGTCAGTGCAGGATGGAAGCCGTTTGTGAGCACGGCCGTAACTCGGCTGCGGGCCCTGGCCATAG